TGTGGGCTTCATTGGGTTCTTTGGTATAGTTTATCTTCAGTTTGTTGGAGTCCGGATCTGAGTAACTGTTTTCTTCATTTCCCTCTGGTTCCTGTACTAATTTTTTGCTGTGAGTAAACTGGTTTCCCTGTTTTTTCTGTCTTCCTGTCATTGCCCTCGGTTTTGTTATTGTCCCTGTACTGTGTGCAATTAAGTATTTTCTAGCTTGTAATAATACCACTGGTGATATTTAGAATGGAAGGGTGAGAGGAGATGGAAAGCAAAGAAGTTAAAGAAAAAGGGAAAAACAAATAAACAAGAAAAACAAACAAAAAATATTTCAAAGATATAAACAGGGAGAGGTAGTATACTAATCAACACTAAGCTGAACAGGCGTTAGAGAGAGGATTAAAAAATAAATAAATAAAAAGGAATAATAATAAAAAAAGAGAAAAATCTCCAAGTTCAGATGCAATAAAATTTCAGTCTTAATAATTTTGGTGTTCGTCCCTCAGCCTTCAATCCTTGAGGTGGTGTCTCAGAAGTAGTTTTGTCATTGTCTCATCAAAGGGGAAAAAAACCAAACCAAGCAAAACAAAACAACACAAAACAAAAAAAAAACACCACAAAGTGTGTCCCAAGTTCAAATGCAATACAGTTTCAGTAAGTTTTTCAGCATACAGATGTAGTTCGGTTGTCTCATCAAAGGAAGGGAGAGAAAAGAAAAAAAAAAGAGTCTGGAGACAATTCTGTGAATGGCTATCTGAGCCTGTGGCTCACCTGCCTGCTGCTGTCAGCCTGCTGTTGATGGAGGCTTTATTTATGCAGATCTCAGGAGTGAGCTTAGCACTCACCTAGCCCAGCAGGCTTTGTTTTCTTAGAGTTCTCCTGTGTGTGAGCCACTGCTACAAGCTTTCCCCTTTCCAAGCACACTGGGGGAGGTGACACTGCACCAGCTTTCTCAGGCTGGCGTGTTTATTTACAGTTCACCGGGAAGTGGGTCTTTCCCCCTGTCCTGTGGAGTTTTCCTCCCACCGCCACTTTTACAAGCTTTCCTGCTCCTGATTGCTGGGCGTGTGCCGCGGCTTCTGCCTTCTCCAGCCGGCTTGTTTATTTACAGTTCCGGGAGGGATTTCCTCTCCCCAACTCTTCAGCGCTCAGGGCACTCTGCCCTCTTTGCTACGTGTCTTTTTTGTTGTTCTTGCTTATTATTCAGTTTTTTTTCTTTTTTCCCTGGGTGGGGGTTGGTCTGTGCAGGAGGCTATGCTGATCTGGCCTTGGTTGTCTGTGGGAGTACCACGTACCACTTAGCTCACCTTGTGGTCCACGTCTTCCCAAGCCGTCTGGGCACTGGTGTCTGGTGGCGGCGCGGGAGCCTTCCTGGTTCCTCTGTTTAACGTGGAGTGGGGATGCTATGCGCAGGCTGGAGGTGTGGAGGGGTCAAAGTTTTGCCTCTTCTCAGTGGTTTTTCCTGTAAGGTGTATCTCCAGCATCTCTCCAAGATTTTACTTTAGGAGGCACATTTTCTGCTTCCTCCCTCTACCCACCATCTTGGAATCCTTCTGTTTATTCTTTTTGCATTTATTTACATGTGTATACATTATTTGGGCCACATCCCTCCTCCTCCCTCCCTCCCGCTTCCATCTGTTCTATGAACTTTAAATGGTTTTTGCAATCTTTAATTTCCAGTATTCTTGCTCCATAAATATTCCTCTCAAAAAATAAAAAATATATTCTCTTGCTTTATGTATGTGATTTTACATTTCTGATAATCTTAATTATAGGTGTGTTTTTTTGGTTTGGTTTGGTTTTTTGCAGTACTGGGGCTTGAACTGAGGGCCTTCACCTTGAGCCACTCTACTAGGCCTATTTTTGTGAAGAGTTTTTCCAGATAGGGTCTTGTGGAACTATTTGCCTGGCTTCAAGTTGATCCTTCTGATCTCTGCCTCCTGAGTAGCTAGGATTACAGGTATGAGCCACCGGCAACCAGCAAGGTGTCTTTTTTCCACCTTCGTTTTCTTTCTTTTTCCCCCTGCATTATTTCTGTTTGTTCCAAATGCTTTTTTTTTCCCCCCTTCCCTTTGGGGCTTTGTCTTTTGTGTTAGAGGTATATTCTTTCATTGGGTGCTGCTCCTTGATTTTCATGTTTAAAAGTAAAGCATTGGTGTGATTAGAAGCTAAGAATGAGTGGGCCTTAGGATGAGCACATTTCACCATATAGAAATTAGATGGGAATCCCTAAGTGTTCTGTTGGAGGGATTTGCCAAATATCAGCCTCTGTTCTCCACAGTCTTCAGTCTCCTTATTGGGAAGTTGAGCCTGGCTGCTATTTTCTCTTCCCTGAACAGGTGAAGGTTTGTGTATTGAAAGGTGTCTGCATAGTCCAGATACAGACTGGCTTAGTTTCAGCTTTCAGCATGGTGGCTGAGTACCCACGTGTCTTCAGGACACACTCTATGCTTAATCCCGCCAGCCCAGCAGGAGACTGGACACCTCCCTCCTGCAGCAGAGCTTCCATACTCCATGACTTCCACATCCCATGACTGTCAGAGGCAGGAGCCCCTGGTTTGTCCTTCTTCTCCTCTCATAGCACTTACTTAGAATTACATGTTCAAGAGTCTGCTCTCCCTAAGGGACTGGATCTATACTGTTGATTTGTTTTCTTTCTGGTGCCTGGATACATTAGGTATTCAGTCTTTATGGTTGTATCTTGGGGCTTAGCCATTCGATTCTGCCAAATCCCCATCCCAGAAGCTAGAGGTTCCTCCTCTAGAGATGGCTAAACAGGGTTTTTAGCTCTGTGGCTCCTTCAGATACAAAGCCTGTGGGGAGAGAGCATCAAGGTGCACCTTTGGGGCTTTTGACCCTGTTTTTTAAACCACATGGCAAGGGAATGTCCCAAGATCTAGTCAAAGGTAGAGACTTGAATGGGTAGTCATAACATTCTTACAAGTAGAATAGTCTTGGATGAGAGTAAGTACTTGTTTCTAATGAGTCCACAAGGTGAAAACATTGAGTTTAATGGTTTCATACTCGGTTTGGAAGGCTGTTTGGGCTCTTCTTTTTCCTACATTTTTATTTTTATGTGTGTATGTATGTATGTATGTATGCATAGTATTTGCAGTACTAAGGTTGGAATTCAGAGCTCATGCTTGCCATGCAGGTGCTCTATCACTTGAACCATACCTTAGCCATTTTTTATTTGGTCTCACATTTATGCCTGGACTGTGATTCTCCTATTTATGCTTCCCATGTAGCTGGGATGACCTGCAGGTACCACCATGCTCAGCTTTTATTGGTCAAAATGGGACATTGCTAACTTTTTGCCCAAGCTGGCCTCAAACCTCTATATTCCTGATCTCTGCTTTCCCAGTAGCTAGGATTACAGGCTTAAGCCACTATTTAAAATTTTTATTATGAAAAATTTCAAATGTACAAAATAAACTTTTTTTTTTTGTGGCACTGGGGTTTGAACTCAGGGCCTCATGCTTGGTAAGCAGGTACTCCTACCACTTGAGACACTACACCAGCCCAAAATAAATTTTTGAAGCAAATCTTAGCATGTCATTTAATCTGTAAACATTTCTATCACTTTAAAAAAAATACACCTTTAAAAAAATCACAGTGCATTACAACTAAAAGGTTTTTGGGGGGTACTATTGGGGTTTGAACTCATGACCTCATGCTTGCTAGGCAGGTGCCATACCACTTAAGCCACTCTGCCAGCCCAACATTACAACTATAAAAGAAAAAAAAAAATTCCTTAGTATCATCAAAGATACCTGTGGGGCTGGAGGCATGGCTCAAGTGATAGAGTGCCTGCCTAGCAAGGGTGAAGTCCTGAGTTCTAACCCCAGTACTACCACCAAAAAAATAAATAATATATATGATATTGTAAGCAGTCAGTTTAGTTAGTTTTGTAAAAGCCCTACTAAAATGGACTCTGAAAACATAGCTTTGGGCCATGTTTGTTCATCTTTGTTTTCCTTTCCCATGTTTTTAATTGGGAAATAATTTATTGGGCTTTCATGAGTTGTAATGTATATATTATAACATTTTTTAGGTGTACAATCCACATATTTTTAGTAAATTTACGAGTTGTGCACCTGTGACTGCAATTGAACTTCAAAACATTTCTGTCGCCCCCCCCCCAAAAAAAAGTCCCTCTGTCCCTTTACATTCATTCTTTGATTATAGCCCCACATACGCATTTGTCTCTGTAGGTTCGCTTTTGTTGCTGAGTAGGCTGTCAGCCAGGCCTTCCGTCTTAGTCTCACCTAACGCCACTTTTCCAGACCCCTGAGCCACTGTTCACAAGCTGTGGTCTATGAGTGTCAGGTTGTGTTATCCACTGCCAGTTTAGGAGTTAGCATTTTGTGTATGTGAAGCCAGCACTCAGTTCATCTGCTCACTAGCTTCCAAAATGCTATTGATGTCCTCTACTTTCCCGTTTCTTTTTTTCCTTCTTGGTTTATTCTTTTAAAGATTTTGAAATGTTTATCCTTTTAAAACAATAACAAAACAAAAAAAGATTGCATCTTTTTAATGGGGTTTCAGGAATGAAAGGGCTCAAATGCAATCTCCTACCATCTGTAGCTAGAAATCTTCCCAACTAATACTGACTTGCCCTTTTCACTCACCTAAAGTTGCTAAAACTGTTGGACTTTCTTGGTGTTCATTCACTGGCCCCAGAGGATGCAGAACACTGATAAACTCCCATAGGATGGTTACGCCTTCACCCACATGTGGACTTTTCTAACAGATTTCAGTGTAGTGAGCAGGCCACATAAAGGGCTCAGGGGAGCCTGTTCACAAGCTTGTGTGTGTGGATGCTTCTGGGACTAAGAGCCAAACTGGCATCTGCTCCTTATTTGACAAGTTCTTATGTGTGTGCCCGTGGCCTGAAGCTTTAAAAGCTTTAGGCGTGGCCATGCATGCCTCTTTTCATCTGCCCTTCGTGTTCTGGCTTTGACTCTGGCTTTTCTAAGTCCTGACACTTTTTTTTCTTTGTTCTCCTGTAGGATAATGGATTTTCCTGGTCACTTTGAACAGATCTTCCAGCAGCTGAACTATCAGAGACTTCATGGCCAGCTCTGCGACTGTGTCATTGTGGTGGGGAGTAGACATTTTAAAGCCCATCGCTCCGTGCTGGCAGCATGCAGCACACATTTCCGAGCTCTGTTCTCGGTGGCAGAGGGAGATCAGACCATGAACATGATCCAGCTGGATAGTGAGGTAGTGACGGCAGAGGCCTTTGCGGCCCTCATTGACATGATGTACACCTCCACCCTCATGCTGGGGGAGAGCAATGTGATGGATGTCTTATTGGCAGCCTCTCACCTGCATCTGAACTCTGTCGTTAAGGCATGTAAACATTACCTGACGACAAGGACACTGCCCATGTCTCCCCCCAGTGAGCGCGTTCAGGAGCAGAGTGCCCGCATGCAGCGCTCCTTTATGCTGCAGCAACTGGGGCTGAGCATCGTGAGCTCAGCCCTCAATTCCAGCCAGAGCAGCGAGGAGCAGCCAACCCCCATGAGCTCATCTCTGCGCAGTAACCTAGACCAGCGGACTCCCTTCCCTATGAGACGTCTTCACAAGCGCAAGCAGTCTGCAGAGGAGCGGGCCAGACAGCGCCTCCGCCCCTCCATGGATGAGTCTGCCATTTCAGATGTCACACCAGAGAATGGGCCTTCGGGGGTTCATTCTCGGGAGGAGTTCTTTTCACCTGATTCCCTGAAAATTGTGGATAATCCTAAACCCGATGGAATAACTGACAACCAGGAAGACAGCGCTATCATGTTTGACCAATCTTTTGGTGCTCAAGAAGATGCCCAGGTGCCCAGCCAATCTGACAACAGTGCCGGCAACATGGCACAGTTGTCCATGGCCTCTCGTGCAACTCAGGTGGAGACTGGTTTTGAGCAGGAAGCTGCAACTGAGAAAAGTGGCTTCCAGTGTGAAAATTCTGAGGTTGGCCTCGGTGAGAAGGAGCACATGAGAGTGGTGGTTAAATCTGAGCCCCTGAGCTCACCTGAGCCTCAGGATGAAGTGAGTGATGTGACCTCCCAAGCGGAAGGTAGTGAGTCCGTGGAAGTGGAAGGAGTTACAGTCAATGCCAAGATAGACCTCAGCCCTGAAAGCAGTGATCGTAGTTTTTCAGATCCCCAGTCCAGCACAGACAGGGTGGGTGACATCCACATTTTAGAAGTCACAAATAACCTAGAACATAAGTCTACTTTTAGTATTTCAAATTTTCTCAATAAGAGCAGAGGAAGTAACTTTAGTACAAATCAAAACAATGATGATAACATCCCAAACACAACGAGTGACTGCAGGCTGGAGGGTGAGGCCCCTTACTTGCTGAGTCCAGAGGCTGGACCTGCTGGTGGGCCCTCGTCTGCGCCTGGCTCCCATGTGGAGAATCCATTCAGTGAGCCTGCGGACTCCCACTTTGTCAGGCCTATGCAGGAGGTGATGGGCCTGCCATGTGTGCAGACTTCAGGCTACCAAGGAGAACAGTTTGGAATGGATTTTTCTAGGTCCGGTTTGGGCCTCCACTCCTCCTTCTCTAGGGTGATGATGGGCTCCCCAAGAGGAGGAGCCAGTAACTTTCCATACTACCGTCGCATAGCTCCCAAAATGCCAGTCGTAACCTCCGTCAGGAGCTCACAGATCCCTGAAACCTCTGCCAGTTCCCAGCTAATGATGAATGGGGCCACATCCTCATTTGAGAATGGCCATCCCTCCCAGCCTGGCCCTCCCCAGTTGACCAGGGCATCTGCTGATGTCCTATCAAAGTGTAAGAAGGCCTTATCAGAGCACAATGTCTTGGTTGTAGAGGGAGCTCGAAAGTATGCCTGCAAAATCTGCTGCAAAACCTTCCTGACTTTGACAGATTGCAAAAAGCACATACGTGTCCACACAGGGGAAAAGCCGTATGCCTGCCTTAAGTGCGGCAAGCGGTTCAGTCAGTCCAGCCACCTGTATAAACACTCGAAGACGACCTGCCTGCGCTGGCAGAGCAGCAACCTTCCCAGCACTTTGCTCTGACTGTCCTCACGAGACCACGTCCAGACCAGTTGTGGGACTGAAACTAATGCCCTTGGGTTTGAGGTTTCTGCCGCCCATTTTGATGACAAGTGACTGGGGAGTGGTTCCATACAGCACTTGTGCTGCAGCCTTTCTGAGTAAAGCACGAACCTTGGGAGGGATGCGGCCCCTGGACCTGAGTCCTTCCTTAGGGTTGAGTGATGCAGTCATATAGTGGTTTGTAATTGATGTTAAAGGTGGCACATTTAAAAATTAAAGATGAAAGTGTGAAAAAAATTTTTTAGCAATTTTTGTAAAGCTCTGTGGAGCATTTAATCAAATTTCCTATACCTTCTGATGGGAACATTATATCCCTGTACAGTGATGCAAAATGCACTTATGTGTAGCAGTGGTGACTTGGTGCCTGTCTGAAAGGAAGGCCCTGAGGACATGCCTGTCTGCCACAGATGCTTTAAAGTGTATCCTGAGCTGGTCCTGGGCTGATCCTCAGAAAGTACTGTATTTTTAATTTTTGTCTGAGTTGCAGTCACAGACACTGCCCTTTAATGGTGCTGACACTGGGTCCAGGCGAACATTCTCTTAGAATAACAGGTGTATATACATTTGACTATGTTATCTGTTGGATACAGGTTTTAACAGGTTATTTTTTTCTGGTTTTAAAAACAAAGTTGTAAAAGGAATATGTACTTGTAGGGAGTGACAAGTGAGATATTGTTTCTGTATGTGCTGTTTTAGCAGTATTTTAACCAATTTGTATTACCAATGTTACAGTTCCTGTTTGGATGTCAGAAAAGAGCTAGCGTTTGTCTTTGTTCTGATGATGTGGAGTCATGTTTTGTGGGAGTTTTCATTGCACATTTACCCTTTGCTCCATCCAGATGTCCGAGTCCAGTCCCGTCTGACACATCCCACCCCAGGACAAGCTGTTCTCTGCTTCTCCATTTCCTTCACACTTCGTGCTCCGTGTGGCATCTCTCCCACGCCTACCTAGATTACGTTTTCAGTTAAAAACTAACCAAAAATAATGCCACTTGTCATGGTTTATTAGTTACATACTATACTTTAAAAGCATAGACCCTAAACTCTTATTGTTGTTGCTCTCCCAATACTGAGTATTTAAAATTGTTTGAAATCCAAATGTAGCAGTGTCGGTAGATCAGTATTTTCTAGACTGTTAAGAGAGGAAGGCAGCCCATAGCAGTCACCCAGTAGCATCCAAGCCGACACAGGCATTCAGACCCTCCCGCCTCATTTCCCTAGCCTTGGCTTGCTGTCCTGACACTGTGCTGTCAAGGGCATCGGTGTATCCTAGTTCACATGCAGCCAGGGGAACGGCACAGGTTCATGCATCTCTGTAGATCTCAATTTGGGTCATGCATGAACAGGAGATCCTTTTTATTTTTTTATGCAGTTTTCAGAGATACCAAACCCCATTGTGTATAATTCAGAGAAATCATTTAGTTAAGTTTCAAAAGCCCAAGTATTTCATGTGTACCCAAAAAACAAAAATGAGCGCGTCTTCTCGTAATCTAGTGTGTGCAGTTACACATCTGCAGATAAACCTGTTCTCTTCGAGGGGGCTTGGTATCTCTCATGAGCTGATCACAAGGAGACTGTGATGCCTCCTTTCGAGCAGGTGTGGAGGAGATAGGGTCACGTGTGAAGTTCAGCTGTGTGCTTCACTGTCAAGTGATGTGAGAGGCTCTAAAGCTGCCCTCATGATGTAGGACCAGCATCCTGTGAGGAGATTAATCATTGGAGTCAGGTGAGTCAGCATGGAGAACAAGAGAGGCCCTGTCTGGGCCCAGGGGGAGGGGCTGGTGACACAGGCAGAGTAGTGGCAGTCCTGCTTCTTTCATCTTGAGATGGTGCAGGGTCCTGCCCCACCACCTGAGCAGGGGCTCAGGCACAGGTGCCAGAGCTCGCTCTCCACTGCTAGATGAAACCTGGACTCTCTCATCTACCTCTTAGTTTCTACGTGTGAGAAGCAAGCTTGCAGGCCCTTGTCCTTGGACATGCCATAGCACGTAAAAAGTAATTCCAAGGTTCCCTGGAAAACCACACCCAGGGTTCCTATGATCTGGCGTTTCTACCTGGATTCTAGCCGGTATTGGGGACCTGAATTTTTTATTGGCTAGCCTTAATTATAGCCTGGCATAATCATGTACAATCTATTCTGGTGATCACATCATCACTTCTATCAGGGCACCCATGTCAGTGGTGCTATGCTGGTCAAAACTGAGATTTTAAAATAAAAAATTTGTCATATTCATGCCTCTGCATATTTGTTTTCTTTGCATAGGTTAAAGTTCTTTCTCTGCTAGTCCTGCCTTGACCAGTAGTCTTTAAACCAAGCCTCCAAGACAGTATTGCTGTCAGACAGAATTGTTCCCCTCAAATTATTCCTTCTGCTTTCCCCGAAGCCTTCCTGTCTGGGCTGTGCCCACAGGTGAGTTTTTGTTCTCAGTTCACCCAGTGACTCACCCTTGTGCTCCACCCTATGCTGCCTCCCAAGCAGAAGCTCCTATGCCACTTTGGTTTGGCTCGGGGAAGAATTGGAAGCTGATTCCTGCACAGAACAGGACTTCTGCAATGGCAATACTGGTGGCGTGGCCTCAGGAGTGAGGGGGTGATCACAGAGCGTCCAAATGTGTGAGGGGTGGAGGAGGTCACAGGAAAAGGAAGCAAAGTGCAGGTGCGGGAAGCAAATTTTGAAATTAGGAAGCCCACCTGCCTCCAACTATTCTTGACCCAAACAGTGCTGACCTTCCCTAGTCTATAATTTTCTTCCAATGAACTCCCCTTTGCTGTGTCTGCTCTTTAATTTTCCTGGTGTCTGGGTATCAGGATCAAGTTACCTGGGTCCTGCTTGTCCCCTCCTCGGTGAGGGACAAGGGCAAGAATCTGGGCAGGGTCTAAAGATTGAAATGCCCGGGGTGAGAAGCAGAATGAGGCAGATCACCAGACGCCAAGTTAGCAAAGTAGGCAGATGCTGTCTTTGTTAGCTCCCCAAGCTGCAGGCCAAGACAGTCTCTCAGAAGATTATTTAATGGCAGAATTACAGGCTTTGGGCTGTATGTATCCAGTCACAAAGATGACAAGCAGCACAAGTGTCAGGTTTTCCTGAGCCCACATCCAGCCTGGCAGCACTCCAGGACACCATACCTCCTGGCCTCTGGGGTCCCATCTGACTACAGCTTGAGTTCACTGGGCATCGGCTCCCCTCTCAGGCCAGCCAGCAAGTTGTTAGCTGCCAACAAGGACATGGTGTTGCGAGTTTTGTAGGTGGCGCTGCCAATGTGGGGCAGAATCACTGGAAAACAGAGGGGGAGGTGAGAAGGATGGTTCAAGACCTTAAACAGGGCCCTTTCGTGCTTGAATTTGCCAGTAAGGAAGCTAAACAGAAAATGTGCCTCCCCTCTTTCTGTTACTGGCACCCCATTCCCTCAAGCAGGGGAGCAGAAACAGTAAAGGGACAACAGGCTACTGAGACCCAGACACAAGTAGAATGAGAAATTTGTACCCTAAATACAAGTGTGGCAGGCTACGGCGGTCTGGGCACCTGTCCAGACCCAGTCCTTTACGAGATGGTAAAATCAAGTGCCTGCTTAGCTTAGGAGCTTAGCACTAACCACCAGTCATACCCTGCACCCCAGGCTTCTGACCTGCAGAGTAACCCAGGATGAAGTGCTGGCCCACTGCAGAGCGAGCCAGTTCCCTTGTTCCCTAAAGAGCTGGCTCCAGGCCTGGGGGACAACAGCTCTATCCCAGCAATGCTCCGTGCAGGCTGGCGTTGTGGGGTGACAATGGTACAGTTGCCAAGGCCTGTAATAATGGATGCCTTCACCGGGAAGTCAGCAAAGAACCTGTGTGGGTGTCCATTCCAGAATGATAGGGACAACCCACAACCCTGACCACTCACGGTGAGTCTGGAGACAGAAACCTTAGGGTAAAGAATTATTAGCCAGGTATAAAGTTATTAACCAGGCAGCTGAGGACACAGAAAGACAAGCACTAAGTCTATGATTCTCAGAGTGTGGTCCCAGGGCCAGCAGCACCAGCATCACCAGGGAGCCTGTTAGGTGCACAGTTTCACTTCCCAGGCCAGACCTACTGTAGCAGAAACCCCAGGAGCAGGGCCCAGCAACTGTGCTGCTCAGTCCCTTTAGGTCTCCAAAAAGTATGAGAAGCTGGGCACGGTGGTTCGTGCCTATAATCTCAGCTACATGGGAGGCCATAAGTAGGAGGATCCAGGTCTGAGGCTGGCCTGGGCCAAAACACGAGACCCTATCTGAAAAATAACTAAAGCAAAAAAAGGGATGGAGGTGTGGCACAAGTGGTAGAGTGTCTGCTAAGCAAGTGCAAGGCCCTTAGATCAAATCTCAGTACTACCAAAAAAAAAAAAAAAAAAGTATGAGACCCACTGCACTTAGTGTCACAGATAGCAAAGGCTGGCAACATCCAGCACCCCTAGAGGGGCACAGAAGGAGAGAGTGAGATTGTTACATGCAGAAGACTGGAGAACCACTGTGGGGCCCATACTCAGACCTCTGAGGGGCACTGACTGGCTGGTGAACCATGTTAGAAACAATTCTTCAACCATGATATGAACTGCTGTTATTTGGAGCAGAGGTGCTGCTGTGTGCCACTCCAGATAAGCAAGCAGGCAGGAGGGGGCAAGCCTCCAGTGCCCCACGCTGACAGGGCTTGGCAGGGTAGCTGGCACAGAAATGTGGTGAATAGAGGCCCTACCCCGCCCACAAAGCAGAACAGAGACAGGGTTGTGGCTGAGAGAACCAGCTTAGTAACTGGCCTAAGGTGTCAATACTGGTGTTGTCATTGCCTCTTTTCTCACACTTACATTAATACAAGCCACTTAAGAGCAACAGGATTTACCCATGAGCAACTATGGGGGTAAACACGAGGCCAGCCCCTCCTCCTCTATGTTTCACTCCTTTTGGGGACAAAGACCCAGGTATAATGTACCAGTGTCACTAACAGCCTAATATTTACAGTTCCCAGGTGTGTTGCTCTGTGTTCAGCCCCACTCACACTGGCTCCTCTCCCAGCCTCAGGACCACCTCTCCACACTGGTTCACAAGGCAGTGAGGCATCTGCACTGCAAACTCATGGCTCTTACCACAGTTCTTAAGGGTCAGCAGGGGGTGGTTAGTAGGCAGTGGCTCTGGGGTCGTCACATCCAGTCCAGCAGCTGCAATCTGACCACTGGCCAAGGCCTGGTACAGGTCTTCCTGATTCACAACATCTCCCCTGAAAATGATGGTGGTGATATCACCAAATGATGGGGTGTCCCGATGCTCCCTCCACCCAGGCCACCTTTCAGGCAGAACAACCCACATAAAGAATTTTTCCACTCACCTAGCACTTGGCCCTGACTTTTAAAGCAGTAAGTCTTAAAGTGCACTACAGAAATCTGCATGAGAATGCCAGTCTTATTATACTCTTAAGAACTATAGCCCTGTCCCACTTGCTAGCTGTGTGACCCAGGCAAGGGCCTCAATTTCTCTAGGTCTCAGGCTCTTCATTTATAAGATAGGGAGAACACCACCTAACTCCCCAGAATGCTAGAAGGATTAAAGATTACTGATATGCATTGTGGCATGAACCGGGCCCACAAATGCAGGTGTTTCTTATCTGGCTGGCCCCCATTCTACCCACTGGGAACGACAGCAAACCATCTGTCACGTGCCTAAACAAGGGCACAGATACCCTTGCAATAGACACCTACCTGCATCCATGAAAGTGAGCCACCACTGAAGTAAAGAACTGACTTTCTAGACTTCAAATTGTGCAAAAATAAATACTTGTGCAATAAGGAATACTACAGTGCATAACCCTGTGCAGCCCTGGGCACACGCAGGTCTGAGTAAATGAAAGGTGCCACCAGCATGAGCCCTGTGTTCTGCATTTTTTACTCTGTCACCCCCAGGTCACTCCTTTGTACCTAACATTGGAAATTAAAGATGTTTTGGGGTACATGAGCTTTTGGGGTGACTTCATTCAATCCCTTCTGCCAAACTGATTTAAAGGTTCAAAGGGACCGGGAGCCTGAGCAGCAGGATCTCAAGTCTGAGTTATCAAGTTTGGGTTACAGAGTGCGGTCCTATCTCAAACAACAATAATAAAGGTTCCAAGGGGCTGGCAGAGTGGCTCAAGTGGTAGAGCGCCTGTCTAGCAAGCATGAGGCCCTGAGTTCAAACCCCAGGACTGTCAAAAAAAAAAAGCAGACTGTAAAGGTTCAAAAGGTACCAACAGGAAAGGGCTAAAGTGGCAGAGAGGAGGTGTGTCCCTCCTACCCGCCCAGCAAACTGAAGGCGCTCAAGATTACCTTGAGTTGAAGGGCCTGTGTCCATTCAAACATTACTGAGCTCAGGCACCAGGCTAAGTGGTATGAAAGGCCAGCCTCCAAAGCACCATCCAGACTCCAGGTCCATCCTCTGTGGTCGAGAAAAGTGGGCCTGCCCGGGATCCCATGGTGACTCACTGCCCACTGTGCCCTCACTCCCTGAATCACACTACTGTGAGCCAGGCCTGGAGTGCAGCTGGGGCTACTGGCAGAAGCAGAGTGCACCCAAGCTCTAATTACTCCTCCTCACCCAGTTCTCACACAGCTTCTCCTGTATTTCTGAGTTGTTGGTCAGTTGTTGATTTATGGAGACCAGCAGCTTAGCCTGAGGTCTCACCAACAACTGGCAGGGAAGAAAGCCCCGGATCACAGCAGCTGGGCCTCTCAGGCTTGCTGGGTGACCCAGGGATGTCAGGTGGCCATAGGCTACCTGCTGATGTTGATAAACACGGCTGTCTTCTTCATCCTCTGGAAGAAGTCCTTGTTGCAGAGCCCCTTGGTTGCAGGCGTTAGGGAGCAGGCCACCACAATGAAGTCAGACTCAGCTGCCAGCTGGGAGGTTGACACTGGGGGAAGAGCATGGCTCCATCTGAGGCTGAATTCCAGTTAGGGACAGCAAGATGGTGAAGACAGAAACACCCAAGACACTTTCTGAAGGTCTGATCCCTACCTGGACAGCTCTAATTACTATACGAGGATAAGAACCATTTGTGGGATACTGGTGTACCCCATCAGTCACCCAACCCCTTGGTTTAACAGGCAAATGGAGGCCAAGAAGGGCAGCAGTTTATCTAAGGAGCTGGGATCTGGACTGCTCTAGCTTTCACCTCCCTCAGGACCAGATGTGCCGAAGGGGAGGACTGGCTGAGATGCAGTCTACCTCTGCTTACCACGCTGTGCAGCCCCCAGGGGCTGGATCCACCTGGATCAGGGCACACAGAGGCTGGGCTGGCGCTCACCAGTCAATCAAGAAAACTAAAACTGCTCAGCTCTTCCTTAGCTCAGCACATCCCTGCAGCTCTGCCCACATACTGAATGCCTGTGCTCCCTGAGAGCGCCTCTGTGGCCAAGGCCAGGTAGATTAGATAGAACCCACAGGGCACAGAAGCCCCCAGATACCTGGAGCACTTGCATTCAGCCTGCAAATGCCACCATTAAAAAGACAACCCCCAACAGAGCACAGATGGGGCTCCAGTGGAAACCAAGATTTTACTTACCAAACTCTGCCTGCAGTTCTGCTGCTTCCTGAGGCTTAGGCTGGCGCCCCGTGTACAGAAATCTTTGGACACCAAATGGCTTCAGTCGCCTAGCAATGGCCTGGCCTAGAGACAAGAAGTCAGAATCCATGGCTTGTTCCACCCTTCAGAGGGCATGCAGAGCACCCAACAGTTCCAGGGACACGGACCTTCAGGGGCGGATCCTTTTGCAGGACAGTCCCCATGTTAACTGCTCCTGTCTTATCAAAGCCAGGCTACCTCAGTGAAACCAGCCCCTAGTCGGCCCACTATCCTCAGGGAACTGGAGGCAGTGTCCCAGCTCCTCCGTGGCTGGATAGACGTACACTGTCCTCACACAGTCCCAGTCATCTTGGGGGACATTTGCTGACCTTTTCCAAGAACTGGACCTGGTATCCCTGCAGATGCCTGGTCACATGGTTCCCTCCCTCCTATGGAGGGTCCTATGGACCCTCTGCTTCTGCTAAGGTGTCCTAAGCCTCACTTGACTTTTTGGTGGCACTGCCCAACTGCTAGCCTGCTCCAACCCTACAAGATCTTTTCATATATGCTGTTACATTTTCAGACTCAGAATATGCCCCAAAGTTGTCTGACTCCTCTGAGCAGCTTTCCAGTTAGAGAGGCAGACTGCCGGCTGGCCAGACAGGTTATGCACACTCCCACCCTCAGCCTCATCCCGCACCAGGCAGAATGACAGAGCACCACAGACAGCTGTTTGGCTGAGCCTAGGCCTTCCTGCCAGACTTCTCCAGAGACAGTCACTGGAAGGGAAGAGGAAGAGCTCTGCTGTGTCTGAAAAATAGCAGGTGGATTGCCCACTGGGTCCTCTGATCCCTTGGAGGCTTCATAAATCAGTGCCTTCAAGAAGCCGAGGCTGGGGCAGGGGGCAGAGGGGGCTGTAAACTCACCCACAGTAAACCACTCAAGGCCTGGCCCAGTCCAGCCCAGCCCAGCCCAGCCCAGCATCCTGTTCTTCAGAGAGTTGAAATCCTAAGGAACCCTGGTTCTTACCAACTTGCTCTTAGGAATTCCTGGTTATACTGATTTATTTTTGTGTGTGTGTTTTACAAAGCTGGCTCTTCTCGTTAGGCACCTGCTGTAGGCCATGCCCAGCTGGCATGCAATGCAGACAGCCTCTCCAAAGAAGGATGTCCAGCATTCAGGCCCCTGGCATCAGGGACTCAAACCAAGCCAAGAGAGCAGGGGGAAGGGGGTCAAGAGGGTAGGGCGAGTCTCACCTATGCGTCCTAGCCCCAGGATGCCAACAGTGCTGTGTGTGAGTCCGTAGCCACACATCCACAGGGGCTTCCATGAGGTCCAGCCGCCACTACAGGAAGAAGGAGTGGTGAGCAGCCCAGGCTTGGGCAAAGACGAGAAGCCATGGGGAGCCCATGCACCCAGCACCCCTAGCTGAGTCCATGCTCTAAACCTGCCTCCAGGCCAAAGGGCTGTTAAGTGGGGAGAGTGACATCCACAGCCACTCAGCACTGCAAGAACACAGCATGGACTCCTCCTTTGAAGCACTGGGACACAGAAACCAAGGGCTGTGTGGGGCCTCAGAGGCTCTTGCCCCTTTTGCAGTTGGGGAAACAGACCAGAAAGCCTGACCTGGTCACACGGCCAGGGGAGCTGGGAGCAGCAGATTGCCAACTTGGGATCTGGAACTCTAAAACAAGTTCTCTTAGCACTCCAGAACAACAACAAAAAAGCCCTGAGGCCCTGGGTGAACAGGGGAATGGAGCCCATCTTGAGCCGCTACCAAGCATGGTACCAACTCCCTAGATGGGATAGTGGGAAGGACATTCAGCACTGTGGAATTAGCTTCTGTCCCTCTCCCACCGGGCAGGCTGCTCAAGGCTGCATCTGCATACCCCATCTGTGCTCATGCTGCTCCTGCTCCCGGAGTGACTGCTCCAACCTGAATGTGCACACTGACCCCCTCACCTTGAGCCCTCAGCCAGGCTGTACAACTCTGCTTTTTAGGAAGACAACACAGTAGCAGTGGTGTGCCCAACGCAGCAGCACAGGGGGCAGGGGGTCTGCTTGACCTGAAGGTCCCAATAGCTTCCTGATGGTGTGGTCAGGCTTGGTTCCTGCCCTCAGAGCTTGCTGATTTTGGCATCATGGGTGCCCAGCGTCACCCTCAATGCTCAAGAGGATACCAACTGACACTTCTTCTGTGAAGCCAACTCTGATTGCACCAAGCCCCCTGCCCCCCACCAACCAGTAGAATTTGTCCTTCCTTATCCTTGTCTCTCACGACTTCCCTTCCAGCCCTGTATACTGCAGCTCTGCCTTGTGCTTGAATTATCTTAGCTGATTCCATTCTCCTCATTCAGTGGGGCACACCCAGGAACAAGAACCACATCTGGACCAGGCTGACCCTTGTACTCAGGAACCAGTTGCTGGGCAGAGCTGGCTTTCCCAAGGTGTCACTCACTTCTTCACTTCCTCTATGGCCTCTGGCAACCGGCGGCATGTGGTAAGCAGCAGGGAGACAGCGAGTTCTGCAGTGGCGTCGGTCAGGACATCTGGGGTGTAGCCTACCCGGATCCCACTAGGAATCAAACACTGGGTAAATTTCCATGATGTTGCTTTGCTCCATCTTTGCACTGCCTGCCAGGAAGCTCAGAACTGTAAAGGGGCACTGAGGAGCAATCAGTCCTCATTCCAATTTCAATTATCTCCCACATGCAAGAGTAGAAAGATGGAAGATCAGGGTTCTAGGTCTGGGTCAAGTACTTACTTATTTTTCTGAATTTTCTCCTGAGAAAGGGAAACAATATTTGCCTTTTCTACTCCCAAGAGTGTTGTGGGGATCCAAAGAGACCACACATGAAAAAGTGACACTACACAGAGGGTACCCACTATTCTTGACTTCCTGGGTTTAACTGGCTTATTCACACATGGACAAATTTTATCACAGACACTTTGCATTCTTGCTGAGGGAAATAAAATGAAAACAAACCAATGGCTTCTCTTGCCCTCTCTCTGGCGGCCACCCTCACCCCACATCCCTTCTAGAAGCAGAGCTGCAATTACCGCTTCTTGATTTCATCCAAGGCCAAGTGGTCGACACCCACAGACAGAGTGCTGATGACTTTGAGATTGGCTCCTGTTGTACAGAAAATGCATGTGTAGCCAGGCGCTGGTGGCTCACGCCTGTAATCCTTACTACTTGGGAGGATCAAGATTTGAGGCCAGCCCAGGCAAATAGTTTGAGAGACCCCCATCTCCAAAATAATCAGAGCAAAATGGGCTGGAAGTATAGCTCAAGCTATAGAGCATCTGCTTTGCAAGCAGGAAGCCCTGAATTCAAATCCCAGTACCACCAGAAAAAGAAAATGCACTGTGTATTCCTCGTGGAATTCAAAGCCACACTTGGGATTGTATTTGGGACACCTGCTTATTATATTGTTCTCTCAGACTAGGAGAGACTGGTCCTCAGACCCTATCTCAGGTCCAGGGCCAGGACCTGCAGCTGGAGCTGTGCAAACACATGTTGGGGGCCTATTAGCGCTGGGCATTCCTTCCTGCTGCACACAGGCTCAGAAGGGATAGGGTCCTGCTCCTGGTCACAAAACAAGGCTGTGGCAGATCAGGAGCACCCAAGGTACCCCACCTCATTCTCCTGGCTCCACACTGTGGTCTTTGCCCTCCTAAACCCTCCCCCAGGGACTCACAGCAGGAGGGGGCAACTCCTGTCAAGTGGAGCTTGGAACAAGGGCTCCCAACCAGCCCTGAAGGGGATGCCCTCAGAAGGCAGGGAAAGCACTGCTGACCCCACTCCCTGCCAAAAGACCAGCCACAGCAGGTCCATGTGTCCCACAGGGCAGAGACTCCCTTAGAATCTTGGGCCCAGGACAGCCCAGCACACACCTGCGATATCCAGAAGCCTCTTGTCCACAGAATCAGAGAGGAGGCAGAGCAGGCCATGGGCCCCTGCCACTCCTCGCTCCAGCTCCTTGCTGGGGATGGGTTCATCCGAATCCCACTGCTCCACCTCACAGCTGAAGAGAAGGACAGCCACTTAGGGGATGCAGGAAAGCTCTGCTGATAGTCCAGCATTCCCACAGCTGTCAAGCATCGCCTCTGCTTGCTGTCCTCAAGCTGCTAGAGTTGGTTAAGGAGTCAGGGTCAGATGCAGATGGCCTTAGAATGATCCAGAGACAGTGGCTGAGTGGGGAAGGGCTGTCACAGAGGAAGTCCCAATCTGAAGGGCCCCACACACAGAATCTAAGTGGAAAGGGGGAAAGTTCTGGCATTTGCTCTCAGCTCAACACTCACAGGGGGCCCTCAGAAGACAGAATGGAAGAAAGGCCAGGTGGGTGGGGGTCCTGCATCAGATAGGGCTTGGCTTCAATGACTAGCTGCATCTCTCTCTTCTGAGTCCATGAAATACAAAACTCTCATCCTAGACTTTGCCAAGAAAGATAAGTTCAAGGTCAATTGACAGGAATGACGTTTTAGGGCCAGAGTTCTCAGCAGCTGTGGGAACCAGATTCTCCTCCCAGCCCTCACTACTGAATTCAGAGCAGTCAACATGTATGGAGCATTTGTGGGTGCAAGACATGGGACAAACGCTGGTAGCGCCCAGGACCCCCTGCTGCAGCACCTAGTGACCTTAAGCCCCAGGCATGAGAGCGGCACTGGTGTTATAGCAGTGGGAGTTACACCTACTTTTGGTGTTTTCTGCCTCCCTCCTTCTCCCTTCAGACAAAGCAGGTCCTTGGCAAAGGTGGTACTGCACTGGACAAAATTAAAAATCACTTTCCTCAGAACTGGCTGCTGAGCCTGTCACTCAGACACACCCGTGGAAGTGCAAACCCAGCAAGATGTAGAGGTCAGACTTCAGTGAGCCAAGGCTGAGTACAAGCCCCAAGTCCACCACCTGTACTTACTCCTTGCAGCCTGTAGCTTAATGGGTGACTGATCTCACCGTGCTGCAAGGACTTAAAAGTTTATGTACATGAAGCACCTGGTGACCCTTCCAGTGAAAGGGTTCAACTGAGAGAGTCATCAAAGGCTGCTGACAATCATCCAAGGGCCAGGCCAATGATGGCCACGTTGCCTGACCTCTCCTTCGGGTCAACCAACCTCAAAGGGTAAAGAATTAACAGCCTGGATCTTCCCTCATAGGTAAGCTCTGTGCAGGCCGATGATCATTGACCAGGCTGTCTCGTCGCGTGCCAGGCTCGCGCCATGGCCAGGAGCCTAACTGAGAGGTGGGCCCTCGAGAACTTTATGTAAGCCTCCCCCAAACTTCGAGCCCAACCTGGCCGGGCACAGTAGGCAAGTCTGACCAGGGCTGCAGCTCTAGGCTCCATCTCTCAGGTCCCGGGGGCCGCCTCGCCCTTCCCCTCCCCCACAAATAACTGGAGGGTTCGTCCCCAGCCCTTCGCAGGCGCAGACCCGGGCGCCTGAAGGTCGCTGAGTCACCTGTGCAGGGGTGTCTGAGGTTTGGGGACGGGAACCCGCCAGGGTGGCTCCGGGCGGCGTGCTCAAGGCTCTGCAGCCGCTCGGGGTTCGGCCCGGCCCGGCGGGGGACGGGGCGCGCCGAGCGGCGGGGACGCGGGACGCTTACTCTGCGGCCTGGGCGAGCGCGGCCCAGCCCTCGGGGGGGATCCTGCGAGTGACGAACACCTTCATGAGTCGCGCTGGCTTCATGCACCCCGCAGCACCGACCTGGCCAGACCCAAGGCGACGGAAGTGGGGCGTGGCCTGGAGGGCACGGGGCGGGGCGGGCGTGTGCGCGGGCGTGTGCGCGACCCTGCATGTCCAGGGAGTGGCCGTGACAGTGTGTCTTTGCGTGGAGTGTGAGTGTAGGACTCTGCATGCGCTGTTTGCCTCTGTGTGCCGTGCAGCCCTCATGACGCTGAGACTGATGGGGGGTGACATGAACAAATAGGAACACCCGCCACCCTAGCAGCTCGGGGATTGGAAGGCGCGTCCAGGAAATGGTGTGAGTGGAGGGGCATCCAGAGAAGACACCTGTGTGAGCGTGTTGGATGTCAGTGTCCGTGTGACTGGGTTGTCAGGGTGGGGAGGGGAGGAGAAATGCTCTGACCATGGGTGCTAAGGACCCTTTCGTACTGGCCACACTATTCCAGGCAGGACTTCTGGTCACCCATACTGGCCTCTGAGCTCAGTCTGATGCAGGAATGGTGTCTTTACTCTTTAGGATAATTCCCTATATGAAACCCACAATTATCTTTTTACTCTTAATTTAATTTTATCGTTTTTACATTTACTTACATGTGTACATTATTTGGGTCACCTCCCCCCCCCCATTACCCACAATTGTGAAGGTGACTTTAACTGTCAGGGGCTGCTTAGGCTTGCTGGACACCTGCTTACTGGCTGGAGCCAGTTCATGAATAGGTTTAAGGCCAGGCATGTGGGTTTGCAGTCAGGTGGGCCTGAATCCTGGCCCTGCCACTTACAAGCTGTTTGATCTTGGTGAGGTCATGTCAGTTTCTTCAGGAGAAAACCGAGGATGACACCATTGAGGGTCATTGTGCATGGGCTCTGGGCCCTGGCAGGTGCTCCTGGAGCACTGAGGCTGTGGAGGGGAGGAGTGGGGAGCTCAGGCTGTAGAACTGGACTGCCTGGGTGTAAATCCCAGCTCTGCTACCAATGAATGAGAAGTTATTAAACTTCTGTGTGCCTCAATTTCCTCCTATGTAAAATGGGGGTTATAATAGGATCTGCCTCGTGGCTTATTGAGAGATGAAGTATATACAGTGCTTATAACAGCACAACATGTACTTAACACATTTTTAACTCACACAAGGAAACCAATGCTGGTGCACCATACAGTAGTTGGTTTGAGATGCAAAAGCTATAGAAGGTCAAGTGCAGAGCCCCAGGCCTGTTCCTCAGCTCTGCCGGCCTCATTTCTGTCAGAGGGCTGTTCTGTTACTTGCTCCCAGACCTGGGAGAACCCAGAATGCATCAAAGTGATCTCTTTTCCACTGATTCCCCCCTCCTACCCACTGGGGATTACACCAGGACCTCCCAAGTATGCTTTACCACTCAAGTCATGCCCACAGCCCTTTTGTTTGTTTTGTGATTTTGAGATAGGGTCAGAATCCCTTGTGCCCATGAAGGCAGGATCAAGAATTGAGATCTGCACAGAGAGGTAAAATTACCAACTGGGATCACACAGCAAGTTCCTAGGCCATCTGGGTCCCTGCCAGAGCCGATATCCCACACACCTGCCCCCCCTTAAGTAACACATTAGTAAATGTCATACCCACTGACCCTTACCTGTACTGCTAGGCCACTGCGGGAAAAGTTCTGAGATATATCAAACACTGACACGAAGTATTTTTCTGCCCTTGGCCAGGCCCTTTGGGGTACAGCTTAGTCTGTAGCTCTGTCCTGTTAATCTCCTGAGCCTAGTTCCTTCCACACACCAAGGCCAGGCGGTGGCACTGGGCACTGAGCAAGCCTATACACAGGTTAGGCAGGGCCACAACAGGTTACCGGGTCTTCTCCGCCAAGGCAAGGAAAGCAGGGCCAGCTGATGGCCCAGGAAGCAGAGCTGCTGGAGTGGAGGGGGGTGCCCTGGGCTTCAGGGGCTAAAACTCAGCATGGTGAATAGCTATCATGGTGCCCTTAGTTCTAGACAATGTCCCTGTACCTCCTGCAGTAACTCCCTAATGGAACTGTACGTTCCCTGTAAGTGCACTGAGACTCTCCCAGTCTACACACAGCTGAAAACAGGACTGGTGGAGTCATTTGCTTAAAGTCACACAGCCACTAAGAAGAGGCAGAGCTTGAATGCAAGCCCTCACCAGCTCTAGATCCCAGCTCCCCACCACCCAGCAAGCTTTGTGAGAGTGGGAAGGTTGAAGGAGGCAGGCAAGGGACAACTTTTGGTATTGGCTTGGGGGGACCCTTAAAGTGCTCGTACTTCAATGGGTATCTAGGAATGGGGGGGTGCTGAGGAGTAGGTAGTGAATGCCAGGTGCCTGGAGGATGCTTAGGTACAGGAGGCCAAGAGGGGCAGGATCCCCCACCAGGAAGCCCTTCCTGATATACCTGCCCCTGCTGGATTTGAAGGCCCCTCCTTTGGGCTCCCAGACCCCTAGGATGCCTGGAGTTTGAGGTTTGCATGTCTGTCTCCCTACCAGATGCACACAAGAATTATGATGATGATGATAATGATGACAGTATTGGGGTTTGAATTCAGGGCCACACGCCTGCTAAGCAGGTGCTGTACCACTTGAGTCACTCCACCAGTCCAGGAAAAGAATTCTTGAGGGCAAAGACCCTCCTAGTCAGTCTCCCCAGCAGACTGTACAATGTCGAGCTGTAGTAAGAACGATGAAAGAGCAATGAACAGACAAAGGCTCAGAGGCAAGGAGTGTCCATGGCCTGGCCAGCAACTGGGCTGAGGTTGGGCAAGGTAGAGGTGTGGCAGGAGAGATGGCCAAAGCAGGTATTTGGATCCAATGTCTCAGACCCTTGTGTGGCTACTTGGGGAGTTCAGGCTGAAACCCAAAGACATCATGGAGATACCTGTTAGTTGTTAGCGGGAAGACCCAGGCTTCCCTGGGACTGGTGGGTGGAATTCTAAGATGGCCTCCAAGTTGGCAGACACGCATTTCCCCTCCTTCTGTTTATGATGGGCTATCACTGCTGTGATCAGGTTACCAATCTAGTGACTTATCTTGGGTGGGTCTGACCTTTAAAGAATGTGGCATCAGCAAGAAGCCATTCTGTTGGCCTTGAAGAGGTACACTGACGTTTGGTGGAGAGTGCCTGGGCAGGGAGTAGTAGCTGGCCTTTAAAAAAGCGTCAGTCTTAAAACCACAGGAAACAAATTCTGCTAACCAGTGAACTTGGAAGAGGATCCCAATTCTCAGAGAATGGAGCCCAACTAGCACCTTGGTGCACAGTACAGCCCTGAGCAGGCCTAACTTCCTGACACACATAGTTGTGAGTCAGGAAAGGGCTGAGTGAGGCCACTTAGCGTGTGGTCACCTGTTACACAGCATTCACGAGCTAGCATAGCCCAGGGCTCAACAGAAGCAACATATCAGGTGCTTGTGACTCTGTCACTTCTGAGGTGTGGTGAGAAACACGCTGCGCAGAAGATCTGCCCAGGCTATAAACTGGCCAGGTGACATCAGGCAAAACCCTTCTTTTGTCTGAATAGGGACAATCATTCAGATCTTATGGTAGGAGCTAAGTCCAGAGCCAGGTCCTTGGAATATTCAGGAAGTGGTGACAGGGTAAGATTGACATTCATCCCCACCCCTCAGGCCAAGGGAAGGAAATGGGTTCACGCCAGTCTATCTTCCCTGCTCCTCTGGCTTTGCTCTCCGCAGGGGTGACCTTCCTTTCTGTGGCTCATCCCCCACTGCAGGACCTGGGCCCCTTCTGTTCTGGTCAAAGGCTGCTAACTGCTCAGGAGTTTGGGCCTGGGTCAGCCTGTCTGAGGGACCTGCTCTGCCCTATAGAAGCTGATCTGGGAACCCAGGTCCTGCCAGATCCCTGGACTTGTCTCCATTCTCCACTTCTAGAATTTGGACCTTGAGGTCTTATGCCAACCCAGTAGCTGTCCTGAGCCTTGACCAACTGACTCACTTTCTTCCCCACTGTGTCCCTTGACCTTGGCTGGAGTCCAGCCTTGGGCCACTGCAGGACTCCAAGACTCCAGAGGACCCCAAGTCTACTGTGGACTCCCCCTACACTTGTCCAGCACCTACTCTGGCATGGAGTGGCTTAGTCAGGGCATGTAGCCAGAGACACCCAGAGACCTGGAAGCCAGAGGACAGCTCCAGGCAGGAGGCAGGGAGAGGATGAGCTGTCTCCCAGGCTAGGGAAGGGGTGGGAAGCAACATAGAAAAATGCCTCCAGTACCAGTCACCTGCGGGTACCCAGACATGTTGATCAAATTTCTGATTCAGATTTATGCACTATTTATTCAACAAATAGTGGAAATAATATTATTCCAACATGCTTTAGATCTGGCATTTACTGCGTGCGACCAGGGGCCTGTGGCTATCCTTTACATATGTGTGGCCTCTCTTCATCTTCACAGCAGCCATCCATACTCAGTGCTATTATTCCCATTTTGCAGATGACTTAACTGAGGCTCAGAAAGGTTAAGAAACTTACCTAAGCTATCACAGTTGGTAAGTGACTGAGCTAATATTTAAGCCCAAGTGTGAATGACTAAAAATTGTGTTTTAAACTCCCTGTTCCCCATCTAGCAGGAGGAAAACAGAGAGAAACAGTGTTCATGACCTTGAGAAGAGTTTAAGGTGCAGCAAGGAGGCAGGGTAACAATCTGATGGAGGCTAGGGATGGTTTCCCATAGGAGTAGACTTTGATCAGGCCCCGAAGCATGTGTGTGGGGTAGGATTTGAAAGAGCCATCAGAAGGCAGAGCACTGGCTACAGCAGGTACAAAGGCCCTGCAGTGCAAAGCATGGGTGCAAAGGGGTGAAGGGGTGCTGCAAGTGGTTCTGTTTGTCTAGGGAGTGGAACTTGGGCTGGAGGCCTGGGCCAGCCTGGGGCAGGCTAAGAGATGTGCTCTCCAGTGTGAGAACAATGGGAGCTGTAGACAGGGCCGAGCAAGGGAGCGAATGCTTCTGAACTGCATCCTCAGCAGAATCCAGGCCCTGACCACTGTCTTTCCCGCTGTACTGCTCGGTGCTTACAGCTCGGCTAACATGAAGACACCCAAACTCCTGACAGAGA